GTGGGCGAGCTCATCTTGCTCAGAGCCATGATGTGCTCAAAAGTGATGTCTGTCTGTGTGCCCACGTCTACCAGCTGTGACTCAGGAGAAGGACTGAAGATCTTTGTGCGTGGAGTTCTCCTCAGCACCTGCACCACGATGGGCTCCTTGGCTGTTTTGAAGGCTTCCACTGCCTGCTCATGTGTTGCTTTAGATAAATCCTTTCCATTGACCTGTTTGGAAGAAGAAAGCAAAGCAATGAGAGGAACAGCCAATGCAGAGATCGTCTGTGTAATTTGTCTGCTTGCGTAAAAGCCTCAGATTCCATCTAAATGTACATACAGCCATCAGTAGGAACTTATGCAGTGCTACTTACCTGTTTTCTCTTTCACTAGGCTGATGTAAAAAATCCTGCTAAAATATTAAAAGCTGCTACTCCATCACATGATCGTTTCCATAAATATACTGAAGCTTATACTAATATGGTGACTCTGGCACATTAGGTTCTTGAATATGATATAAATATTCAAATATTCTAAAATATGTCCAGATTCTGACAGTTCAACTCATATTATATAGCACTTAGTTCCTGCTGTGTTATGCCATGTGCAGTCCCACAAAAGTAAGTGAAGCAACTGGAAGAGTAGTGTTAATGCAGTAGTGATACCTGAATTTGACCTATAGCTAATATATTGCCCTCAGCAAAAAGCATTAAAAGGGGTTAACTTCAGTGTAGAATTGATGGAAAAGGCTAAATTCCTTTTGAATTAACCTGTGCGCATAACACTTATTACGCTGTCACCTTAGGTTTATCGTAGAAAAGGCGATGACACTTCTTTTTTTTTTTTTTTTTATAAACCAGCTTTCATAACCGTTTTTTTCATAAACCAGTTTGTGCATTCCCATTGCACAAACAGTTGTATTAACTGCAATTACTCACAGTAATGCACAGCATGTAAAGTTTGGTCTGGTCAAATTAAATATCATTAACTTGCACAATTGAGCAGACTACTTTAAAACAATTTGTACAGCTGTAAAATTAAGTTCAGCATAATGTTTTCTGTGGAAAAAAGGAAGTGCTGATTATGTTTCCAGCTTTATTATTTGCTGCAAATTAAATATTGCACATTTTATTGTGTGCATCCTATTTGTTGCGTGTACAACTAAACTGAGCAAGCAATCAAAATGAAAATCCAAATTGCAGCAAGTGAAGTGTTTTCAGAAATGTACTAAGAATAAATCTTGGGCAACACACTTCACACACACACACACACACACACACACACACAAAAAAAAAAAAAAAAAAAAAAAAAGGCCAGTTCATTCCCCAGCATTGTAAACTAACTTGGTTAGATTCTTTAGGATGCTTTATTTCTGTAATGTGTCATGGATTGTTGCTACACCTGCTGTTATTTCCAGGTAGTGTCTTAATTTTTTTTTTTTCAAGCAGATATTGGAGGAAAAAAAAAAGGTGTTGCCTAAGAAAGCAGAAAGTTGTCAGAGAGATCAGATTTTAGCATTTGGGAGAACAGTTGGATAAAATTCAATTTAAAACCTCCTGCTTTAAGGGAAACCAAATATTTGGATAATGAAAATTAGTAAATCTTAAGAGTGCTTGTATATAGCAGAGTCTATTTACTTTCTTGTCTAGAAAAGCTACCAAATGTTGGTATTTTATTTCTAAATAGTAAAAAAAAAAAAAAAATGCAGAATAAAAGTATCCTTGGATGATCCCAGTGGCCTCCTTTCTGCTATCTGTGAAAGCAGCACTTGTGGCTGGTTTTGACTCATTATGAAGCTTAAGCAATAGATTATATTGTTAGAGATGCTGGGTTGTTACCTGGAAATTGGTAAACATAATTGGTAAACAATATTTTCAGTGCTTAAAAGCCAATAAATATATCACTTTCACATTAAGGAAAAAAAAAAGTTCTCTACAGTCATATTTTTTATTCTAATGCTTCTAATTGGTATTCAGCAAAATTCTTACTTATAATTACATCTGAAATAACACAGAATAAAAAAAATCCATGCATGTGAATGCTTCAGAAGACTGCCAAAAATCTGCAAATGTGTATAATTTCTTAAGAACCTTACATGCCATGTGACAGAGATAATGGGATCTTTCGTGGCAAAAAAGATGGATAAATTAGCCTGACTGAAATGTTAAAATGCTTAGCTCTGGACCTTCTTTGTATTGGGAATACACTGAATATGGAGAAAGCCGTTGTCACATGGAAGTCTAAAGAATGGACTTTGACAGCGCTTTTGGTGTAGCTAGGCATTAGGCTTAACAACTGCAGAGATAAATACCCTTATCTTACAGTAAATATGGGATACTTGAATTGCCTTTTAACAAAATTTTTGTAATGATGCAGTTTAGATTTTGAATGAAAATAAAGTAGTTATTTGAACTTGATTCACTCACTGAAGTCATTGAGCATTTTGCTTTTTCAATGCCTTAGTTCAGACCCCAGCTGATCTGAAGAGATCAGTACAATAGCTGAAAAACGAAGCAAAATGTCACGAAGCCAAGCGTGCCATCAGTATTCAATAGATGTGGTGAGAGTCTGTCAATGGAGAGAGGAGTGCTGTCATGGTCCATTAAGGTAGGATATGATATATGTTTGTAATTGAGAAGAAGAGAGATGAGGCAATAAGATACAAAAAGGGAGGCCAAGACACAAATCCAAAAGGAGGGCCCTCCCAACATCAAAGAAATGTGTTAAACTCTCTGCATCATTCATTAATTCATATTTTCAAGACATAGATGGTGAGAAAACAAAAGAGAAACTAATAAAAAGAAAAAATGCAGTGCTTAGCAAAAAAGGGAATCAGCAGATGAACTTCACTTTTATGAACCTTAATCATCAGGTGAAATTCGTACCGGACAGCCTGTGGAGGTTAGGACACACAAAAGCAGCTGGTAGAATGTGACAATGTATCTGAAAAGACCAGAATTGCAAGGGCCATGAAAAAGGCTAGAAAGGTGTGAATACTCTCTTGGTGATAGAAGAGCAATAGTGTACAGTGAGATCTCACTCCATGATGTTTTGGTGAGACCTAGGGGGATACTTGATTCTATTTTCAGATTTTTCTTGCCTTGGTAACTGCTTAATAAGTAGCTGTTCATCTACAATTATTCTGAACCTCCATCATCCAATGTAGGTGCAGATACCTTATTCTGATAGAATATGGTAAGAACTGCAGTATAAGTGGCTGTTAGATAGGGGGAGGGAATGAATGGATGGATGAATCAGCAAGATAAAAAGGAAGAGAAATGGAAAGGACTTTAGAGATTTGTTTGGCTTGTGAAGAATTTGCTCCATCTAGGACACTGATGTCCTTATTACTTTGTAGTGTTTGTAAATGCCTTGGTGGTAGGATGTCCAAAGGCTTCGCTTTCTGTCACAGTTGTATGAAATGTTTGACATTCCTCCTCTTGAAACTATTCTTTTTCTATTAATTCTGGAGGTGTGTTACTATAAAATTACTCTTGTGAGGACAGATTTTCTTGTGTTGTTTAATATTTTACCTAATGTTTTTAATAATTACTTTATGAAGAGGTATTCCTGAGCCAAATTCCACAGTTTAAGATCTCATTTCTAGACCAAATCTTCTTGGGCTAAAAATCAGCAGGTCTCCACGAGGTGGGTAGCTCTCAACTGCAATGTGAGCACCAGGGCTGCTACTGCTGTGCAGGTCAGGGGAAGCTGGATCCATGACTGAGGTGACAGAATCGTACTGTTCTACTAGAATACAATTTTGTGTGAGTGTGAGAGAAGGATTTTAATAGGGTAACACATAATAGTGTACTTCTACCTCTATGCCTTTTTATCAGCAGTTGCTGCTTAATCTTTCATTGTGGTAAGCTATGGCGTGTTGCATTTTTTCTGGGTAGGTAGTGAAGAGTAATTAATTGTTGCTTCTTGATGCCGGACATAATTCTGTTTGAGGGTTTTCAGGTTTATCAAGCTGTGCCTCCTGTTTGAGTAGATGGAGTTTACGCCTGGTTATCACCAATCTTTGTTTCCTATTCTTTCTGCTAAAACCTTTGGAGAAAACCCAGTATTTGTTCTTCCCATTTCATTTTTTTCACATCTCTTTTTTTTCATGAGAGACACTTACAGTGCCTGCTCCTCAAGTGATTCTTTCCCACGTGCAGTGCCAAGGATGACGTGTGCACAGGGCCTGGGACCCCGCAGAGCTGAAGAGGCAAAGCAGGAAGAGCAAGAGCGCTGGGGAGGAGGCGGCAGGACACGCACAGAGCGCGTGTGGGGAGTGAGCAGGAGTGCAGATGGAGTAAATCTGGGCATTAACAGCAGTAGTTAACTGGAAAGCTGAGAAAGCAAGACTGGCACTGTGCATTAGTTTGTTAGGTCTGCTTATAATAACAACGTGTGTAACATTGTTAGGTTTGGTGATAGGTTTGCATGATCTGCTACAAAAACTAGAAAGCTATTTGTAGAAGAAATTGCTTTTTTTCTATGTAATGGATTGGACTGCTGGTTTAAATGCATTCGCTGTCATGAATGGTAAACATTTGTATGCATTGTACAGCTTGTTGGCTCTTCTGTGGTTCACAAATCTCACAGAGGAAAACTTTTTTGCTTAAGAATGAGTAAGAAGCTTTTCTTTGTAGAAAATCATGCAAATCCTTGGGAAGCGCACTATAAAAACGCTAGTTCTGTTAGAGTACGGATGTCTTTGCCCCATTTAAAACACTCTTTATCGTCTGATACACTTCTTTAGCAAGTTCTTAAGAAGTCTGCATATTAAGAAAAAGCAGCTCAACTTTAAAGATTTTATAGAAACTAGAGCAGTAAAAAGCCTGTTTTCTAAACCTCCTTTTCCTCAGAAATGGGAAAAAGAAGGTTCAAAATACAGGTTAATTCCTTTCCAGTTCCATCTAATCCCCCTTTTTATTGCCGTATGGACAGTCTTTCTGTTCTTCAAAAAAACAGAATAATATTGTTTAGTAATGGACTGTTTCCATGTGTGTGCATTTCCCTCCGCCTTGCAAGATATCTATGGCAAAGTAGTTAAGACCAAAGAGAAATTCTTTGCTTAGGAGCACAGCGTACATTTGTTCTCTAAAACATTAACTTCCAAATAGAAAATCTTGGGAGAAAGAGCCTTGAAATACAGGAATTTTTATTCTGCTAGTAATTAACACATTTATGTATTAAGAAACAACACAAACAGTGGTGTGTATAACACACTGAAGGTGACC